GTGGGTGATCATAGTGACAGGATCAGCCTCTTTGTCGGACAAAGGTAATGATCGGGGATGCACTTTCTCTGATGGAAACCAAGACTACCGGTAGCCGATTTCAATCGTTGAGATTTGTTTTGCAAAATATATTTTATATGAGATATAAAAGTATATATATTATGATTTTCAAACCTTTGCAAAAGGTTTTAATTCCCGGGATCCATGTAAGTAGAAAGTGCAACACTGTTCCTTGTAGCCGAGGGAGAGGTCATCTCTTGTCGGGCAGTGTTTAATCATTATGGGCTGAGAGGTTAAGTGTAAGACCATTGAGGGTAATATCTGATGGGCTAATCTTGCATCTGCCCACAGTCCCTAGGTGTTACAAGGTGGCTTGGCCCAGAGACCACTTACGGTAAGTGTTGGGCCCATAGAGCCCATGTGATGGGTTTCAGGGGGTGCACTGTCCATAATAGTGTATTCGACCAGGCCTTGTAACAAAGGCTGGGCTGAACCCATGTGGCTGATGTGTAGATCAATGTTTGGGTCCCATGCCATACAATGAAGCCCAACTGGGCAACAGTTTGGAAGGCTAAGCGAGCACATAACCTTAATGGGCCTAAAGCCCATTTCGAATTGGGCTGATTTGATCAGTTAAATAAGGGGCGAATTATGAAATTAGATTAGCATATAGGATTGGGTCTTAACCCTATCCACTTAGAGAGTCCAAATCTAAATGTGATTCAGATCTGGAAATCTCCTAATGAGATTAGGAGAAGGTTGATCTAATCTGCAGATAAGATAAGGGTTTACCCTTATCACTTAAAGGGAATTATGATCCAAATATGATTTGGATCAGCAACTCCTAATGGGATTAGGAGTTGATCCCTTTAAGGTTATAAAAGGAGGAGGGGGGGGCAGCCTTTTGACACACTTCACATTCTGTCTTCAGAGCTGAAATCACAGAAGAGAGAATTCAGCATCACTGCGATAAATCTCTCTTGCCGCCTCCTTCCTGTCGCCGCCATATCTGCCAGTTTGATCTCCTATTGTCAGTGGGAGTGATCAAGATTGGATCTTGATATCAGTCCTTTGTGAAAGAACTGATTGGAAGAAGTGCTCACATGTCGTCTAGCTAATACTTGCAAAGGATCTGGTTCTTTTGAAGAACGCTGCTGATTCTGCTCCATCCTGCACTGCGCCATCTTCAGTGGGAACAGTTTTTGGTTCCTTCCTTAAGCGTGAACACCTCCATTGGGAGATATTGTTTCTCCATATCAGGTATATCCCTCTCCTACTGTTTTTGTTCAGATCTTATTCGGTTCTTGGTTCAAGATTGATCCTAAAAATATGATTTTTCTAAAAGAGGGAATGTGATTCCCAGTAGGAAGGAGAGAAATTTTTGAAATTTGCCCATTCTATTCCACAAGATTCAGGCGTCTATACGATGAATCTCTCATCCCTTCAGATAGATGTTGCCCCCCCCCCCTCCTCTCTCCCAAACATGGAAAGGTTCTGTAGGGGATATATTTTTCTACTGCAGGTTCTGCTGCTGTGACTACTGGAGATATATTTATTTGTTTTCACCAATCACCAATAAGAAACCATTTAAAAAAAGCAGGTTCTGCTTACATATAACTAATCCCTAAACTTTATGATCATACAACTTCATAGTAAGACCATTTTAACTAATAAACTTTATGATGCCAATGCTGTTAGAACCTGCAGCATTGATGCTGGAGTCCCATTTGGTTGGGATCTTGTAATGCTAGTGGAAATTCATATTTGCATCTGTACTGATGTCCTTCTATCAGTCATATTGAAATAATGCATTGATTCAACAGAACTTTGTAAACCAAACTTCAGCAATTCAAATTTCTTGTTGGACAAGTCTTTTATCCAGTATTAGACCATATTAATTCATAGAGAAACTTATGTAAACTTGTCTTTGACAATTTAAATTTTATATAAGACAAAATGACAAATCCCTGCATTCAGTAGTCAACTCAATTGTATATGCTTTTTTACTTGCACAAGTCATTGGCAAAACTAAGGAACTACTGTCCACCAAAAATGAAAAAGAGCAGAGTTTTGACGGGAAAGTCTTGAGTCTCACATTATGACAGTATGAAGAAATGGATGAAGCCTGCAACTTGTTGAAGAGCAGAGTTTTCACAGGAAAGGTAGCTAGCCTTGCAGTTTCAATGATCCCTTGCATCAAGAAAGAAAAACGAATTTGATTTCTTCCTGAAAAGAAAACCTGATAAAGATCAGGAAGCCTGAAGCAAAAGTAAACTAGAATTTATAGTTGGTTCATTTACAGATAAGTAAGTCAAACTTGAAGTTGTCAAAACTTTTAAAACAATACCAGGAATGACACCACAGACAATACAAGGAGAAACAGGCCAAGTATTCACTATTAGTAGAATTGAAGCTTCATGTAGTGAAATCTCCAAACAAATTTGTACAAGAATCTCCCATAGCCCATTGTATATGACTTTGTTTGTATGATTTTGTTTTTGAAACCAAAAAACTACCGCCCTATCAGCAAAACCATGCATATTGGCGAACACCACCCTAGAAAGCATCTCTAATTTCTGAATCAAATTAAAAGGATTTTTGCTTTGTTTTAGAAAAAAAGTACATCCCATAATGAATTTTGGATTTTATTCTACTGTGGCAGCTCTTAGTAACAAGGGAAAAAACAGGAAACATTCATAATGGACAACACCTCAGAAGTAAGCATAACAACCTGGAAGTAAAAATCCTATAGTATTTGGATTTCATAAGTAAACAAGCTCTAAATTATAAGAAAATAAGAAAATTTATACAAAAAGCCCAATCAATTATGTCTATATAAATAATACAACCAGAATAGGACAAAAGGACATGAGCCCTCACTTTTGATTATAAAACCATGTCAAAGGCAGACTTCACTGCCCTTTATAATTGTTGGAATCATATTGTAGCCAATTCCTTGCGTCACTTCCACTTCACCAGCATGGTTCACCTTTCATTGGTAATAGAACATAGTAAACACATATGAACTAAAGATAGATGTTCACCAGGCTGGTTATACCAGCCAACAAGATTGCTATGCTCAACTAAGTAGTCTCTGTTAAATTAATGTTGCATGTTTCAAAACTAAGAAGTGCTGAGATGGGGACGAGAACAAGAACATAAAGAACAACGAGAAGGTACCCTTGAAACCTTCTTGATAAGCTGTACAGATTTCCCAATTGCCTCCTTCAAAAACTGAGACCACGAGGCTCACCATCCAAATTGCAGCATGCAGAGGGTCATGCCAAAAAAAAGCATGGCTGATGCCCTAGCAAAACAGGGCATGGGTAGAGATCAGTTATTTTTTCTTATTGAAATGGGGAGAGGGAGTAAAGACCATCCTCTCTAAAATATGGTATGTAATCTTCGTATATATTTACAGTTTATTAATAACTATATGGCTGATGCCCTCCCTAGCAAAACAGGGGATGGGCAGAAATCAGTTTTTTTATTGAAATGGGGAGGAGTAAAGGTCATTCTCTCTAAAAGGTGTATGTAATCTTTGTATATATTTACAGTTTATTAATAAAGCTGATTGTTTATTAATAAGGCTGACCTCTGTAAAAGGTGCTGGTTAATTTTTGCAGTCTCTGTTGTCAAGAGAGGAACCCGTCCTGCATGTGCTGGTCCACTGCCCTTAATTCTTACAGCATCTGGTGGCATTTTTTTTAAGTTGTTTGGATCTCCTTTGTGCTCCCTATTGATCTGGGCATCCTCTTTTCATTCCTGGCCAGCTACATTTCCATGTCATGTACTTTCTGGAGTTCGTTGTGTCTGAAGTATAAATGGTTGAAATCGTGGAGAAAAGAAAGACCATCCATACAGCAGCTATGAAGACCAAATCTATCACTATAAGAATTCCAAGATCCCTTCTGAACTTGCCAACTAAATCAATATATTCAGGGCTTCCTGCTAGTGGTCTTCAGATAAGTTCATTATCTTCAGAGCCAAAGGTTTGAAATTTTGAACATTTTCAAGGGGTAAGCAGGCCTAAGACTGACCTCCTGACCAATTTTGAAAAAAAAAAGTTATGTAACTTCAAAACACCTGATACACATGTTCATGCATATTGGGTGCATCGATACTTTGAACCTTGTAAAGAGCTAAATCAACAATCAATGTTTTGAAATCTACAGAAAGAGGCTGACAAACATTCAGATTATTCCTAAGAATTTGAACAGAAAAATAATACTCCTCTATACTCTTGTCGCCCTAAGGGTGGGCCTTGGTGCAATGGTTGTGTTGCTCCCTTGTGACTTGGTGACCAGGGTTCAAATCTTGGAAACGACCTCTCTGTATGTGCAGGGGTAAGGCTGCTTACATCTGTCCCTCCCCAGACCCCACATTTGTGGGAGCCTCGTGCACTAGGCTGCCCTTTTATACTCTTGTCACCCTGCAGAAAGTAGTCTTGATCTAGTGGTTATATTTGGGTTACATTGTTCTGACCCGAATACAACTAACATACTTTTTCCCACATATTCTTTGTTGTATCCAAAAACGTGACGTTTGTACTGAATTTTGTCTTCATAGTTCATACTATTCCAAAGCCACACCATTATGTGCGCATTCTCTTGAACCTATTCACTGTTCCCAGAGAACCAGCTATTGTCATATTGTAAAAAATATATTCCCTTTGGCTTTGAGATAGACTTCGTTTAGTTTAATGGAGGTCATCTTAACTGTAAAGTAAACTGAATTGAATCAATCCAGATTTTGAATATCCACTAGGATATTGTTACTTACCTGATCCCCTTACTGGTAAGCACCCAGAACATGTTGTACCTTCACAAGCTTGCTAGAACAAACTTTTGTACAGCCTCTTTCGAACATAGATTCAATTAACCACTTTAAGTACTGCATCAATCTGAAATCAGGATTAAGTGCATCCTCTAATATCTTTCATACACAGTTAACACAGGAATACCACTAAAAGGAAGCATTTGCACACTAACTTTCATATACCAAAAAGTACTAATTTTCAATTCTGATATTATACTGCTGTCATCTCTTGTACTGACTTCTACAATAGCTTCTTAAACCCTTCAATCCATCAATTTCACAAGCACCACATATGATATTCTTCTATTAATTTCCAAATAGAGGAACTTTAAAAACCCAGTCACCAAGGAGGCCGTAAACGATTTGCACTCACCCTGCTCATAGACCTGAGATCATATGAGAGAAGGCCATAAATCTGTAACCACAATCTTAGGGAAAGGAGATAGAAGTCATAGAACAGATTGCAGGTCTTAACTAGATTTACCTGCTCTGATACCATAGAAACCTGCAACCTCTAGTATAAAAGAAATGAAATGAAAAGAGAAGAGAAAAAAAAAAGAGAAAGAGAAGAGAAAGAAGAGAGAGAAATTGGTATAGAGAGGAAAAACATACACTCTACCTACACTTGGAATCTATTTACAATAAGAGCCAAACTACCCGCTGGGCAGGTAGTTCTGGAGCTTTTCTACAGAGCACAATAACTTGTGGAAGAAGATTATAGCTAAGAAGTATGGTTTAAGGAGCAATGGTTGGGATCCAGAGATCCCTCAACAATCCTACAGTTGTGGCATGTGGAAAGGTACATCGACGGTTTTCTCTCATTTCAGTAAAAAAATAAAGTTCAGGGTGAAGATGGAATCATGGAAGGAAGTTGAGATTCTGGATGGACCCACGGTCTGGTAAAAATGCCATTAAAAGAAATGTTTCCAGTCCTGTTCAATATGGATGAAAACAAATCGACTTGGGATGCTGAATCACATGTGGTAAATGATTAAAAAAAAAAGGAAGAGAAAGAGAAAAACAAAGCTCAGTTACAACGGAGAGGGGAATGGAACGAGGAGTTCTCAGACCAAGAAGATGAATTCACAGATGAAGTCTGATGCAGGCTTTAGGATAGGGTCATTTGTCTCTGGTCAGGGTCGGGCTAGTGGCCCTTATTTTTTTGGGTTTGTTATGGGTCTATGTTTTTGTTTTCTTTTGGACGATTGGGCAATGATCATGGTTGTAAGTTGTGGTTGTATTGGGCTTTTTGGGACTGGCTTTCTTGCTTTTGGTGATGTCTTATCACCTTCTGCTGTACTTCCTTGCATTATTCCAGAATCAGCACCTAAATCTGCAATCTCAGGATCTAAGATGCTGGAAATGGACACATTCCAGCATAGGAGATCCACCACTCTCACGAACTAGTCTCCACTTTACAATTAATTGAAAATGGATAAAATCCTATTACAATTCAATCCAATATAGTTTTCCCTATTAACCCCTTGTTTTGCTAGTACATCAGCCATGCCATTTTCCAACCTTTGCACCAATTGAATTTTTACTTGAATGTCCCTAGTGAGCCACTTGAACCTTCTTATTTCACATTCAGGGGATTTTTCAATTAAGTCTTTTTATAAAGGTCTAGTTGGTGAGCCACTTGAACCAAGGGAGCACTTTCCAAGCAAAGCTATATGGGGAGCTACTGCTCTATTAAAAATTGAAGAGGGGCTTGAATGCACCAGATCTGATGTGTTTGCTATGCAATAGTAAGGAAGAGACATCAAGCCATCTGTTTTTACATTACAAGTTTAGCAGTTCTTTTGGGCAGCACTTTATCAAGCCAATTAACTTACAGTGGTGATTCCCGAAGTCACTCAAAGCACTTTTAGAAGAATGCAGGTCCCAGGTATGTCCAATAAAGAAAGGTTTGCTGGTCAACCATTCCAACTGCAGTAATGTGGGCCATCCGGTATGAAAAAAACAACAGAATTTTTTAACAGAAATTAATCTCTGAAACAGGGGTGATTAATTTGGTGGTAGAGCAACTCTGGAATTGGTTGTATATACACAATGTATTTGATGAATTTTCTGCTTCTTTTTTTAGGGTGGACTTTTTTGGGGCTTCCGAAATAGAATATACATGTAAAGGACCACTTATTGTTTGATATTAATACAATATACTTTTTTTTCAAGAAAAAACATTAAAATGACTATACTGTCCTCTTTTTGGAATTATAGACTAGGAGAAAATTGCCCTGCCACCTACTCTAATATATAAAACACTACTTCCAAAAATCTGCTTGCTAATCTCAAGAAGCCAATAATAACTATCACCTGGCTATCCATGCCTAACAGAGCATTCAATGAAAAGTTCATTGACCTAGTAACAGCCCCTTCATAACATTTAGATATATGCCTTTCAACCCCTTCAGAATAGCAATATAATGAGACCACAAGAGTTGAAGACTTTTCACTTTTTTTCTTCTCCCCTTGCAATAAAGGTTCCACTTTCTTGAGACATTGTTCAACTACAGTTAGTAACAGCAACCTTAACAAAATAGTATGGAGCAGTCTAATCTCACTCCTGTGACATGGACATTTATCACCACTCCCAAGCAAATCTACAGGGATAAAATTCTCCTTATCCACATGATCCTCAACTGCCAAACACAGGGAAGAATAATGCCCAATTTAGTTCTTTGTTCTTTTCTTTTCTTTTTTTTTTCCTTCATTCAGTTCCTTTGCAATGAAATGTGGGCAACATACACAAACAGGAAATCTTTAATAATAATCACTGAATTGATACTAAAGTTTCCCCTAAACAAAATTCATGATGACTTGTTGAAAACTAGAAAAAATAATTAAATAAAATGGCTTTCTATTTTATGGAGAAGAATAACAAAACCTGAAGCTAGGGAAATTTTACCCTGAATAACACGGAGGTTACCTCTTCCCCCTTCTTTCTTTGTATTATGGTTAGGTCTTTGAACATTTTTGTTCTTTTTTTTCTCCTGTTCATTGTAGTAGAGCAAAGCATATATAATTGGTGTCTATGCAAGTCTAGAAGAACTAGATAGAATGTCTTCTTTATTTCTAAAGGTAGCAATCCAATTGGAATATCAATTTATTTTGTTATTAAGGGTTAGCTTTCATATAACCACATTAAGGCAGTAGCAGTACCATAGGTGCAATATACCTAAAATAATTAAGTTCCATGAGGTTGATTTAGACTGGGAGATGAACTTGTTTAAGAAACTGGATGAACCTGGTAAATATAGACACCCAAATATCAACTAGCTGATCAACCTAATGTAATGAAAAACCTAAAAAAAATAAGCACTGCAAAAATAGAAAGATATATTCAAGTTGATATGGATTCAAATTTCATTAATTAATTTCCTCATAGATGAATACATAATCTCCACTTAATAATGGAGTTAAATACATTTACCCTCTTTAATTAGATACAAGAAAAAGATGTTGTTTTATAGAAAAATAAATAAAAAACGGTTTTCAGAGCTTTCGACCATTTCCTAACTATCAAATTTCATTCATGCTATCTTCTTTTTGAGATGCCTTTGGGTGTCCAAGAATTGATATTGAAATTTGGTACCAACATTACAGCAGCTTTTGCATCCTCCCAAACACAACATAGATGAAAGGAATAAGAGAGAAACATCTTGCTCCATGTTCGTTGCACTATAAACCATACATATCAAGGCTCCATTTGCTTCAATGTAAAGCATGTGGAAATTTTATGTAAAGGGGCAGAAATAATAATTGAAATATTTCAGTCAGAAAAATTATACATTCATTTCACAGACAAACAAAGATGTTTGCTTCAATACCAAAAGAAAAAAGTTTAGCCATGGTAAATTGTTGATCTGTTGAATACAGAACAGGTGGCAAATTGTTAGCCTCATGCCACAATAAAGTCATTTGCAAATTTTAAGTGTTGGTATAAAGCCATCAATTCAGCCATTAATAACATTCAATTTCTCACATTACCCAAAAAACTGCCAAGGATGTGCTCTTCATGTCTCTTGAAAATAATGGGGCCAAACTTAACAGTCTTGTTTAGCGCACATCAATAAATGAAGTACAATCAATGTCCTGGAGAGTGATTCTACCCAAGAATAAATCACTTACATGGTCAGAACAAAGTGGGAGACACTTCTTGTTCAAGCTTTCATGAATAGCTCCCATTCTTGGAACCCATTTTTCTTCATTTAATGGATTCACATTCAAGCGGTTTTGTAGTAACCGAATACGATAAATAACAACATCCATTCTATCACAAAAATGAGCTATACAAGAACATGCAAACTGCTCATCAGAAACCAATCTGATCAAGGCCATGGATAGAACACCATCTACAGGTTTTGGATCTGAAAGATTTTTATCACCCATCATTTTAATCTCCCTTTCTGTGGGAAAGTAGATTTCTTCCATGCCATTTGCATCAGATATTTTCAAATCTTTACTATAATGCTTAATGGCCTCTCGTTTGGTGGATTCATGCTTTTCTGCTAGTGTTAATAAACAAGAAAACCTTAAGTGATAACTTACAACTGTTTTCACCATTTTGAAATTACGGCAACAGCAAAAGAAATCAAGCCACCTCTGTCCTATGCCAGCATACCACTTGATAATATCAGTATCATCCAAAGGGATAAGCAACTTGATTGGTCTTGGACGCCCCATAGAATTTGTAAATCCAGCCATTTTAACAGCTTTTCTAACTAGGTGCATGGGTGCAGCAACTTTCATACACAATTTTGTCAAATCTTCCACCGTACTCTCTGAGTACTTTTTCATCTCTTTTTCTTCTACATGTTGTTTTTCTTCCTCTAAAGCTTTTCTGATTTTGACTGGACTCAAGTACTTGTCAACTTGCATTTGGAATTGGTCATAAGCATCCACAAGGTCATGGGGCAATTGATCCCTAATGGATTTTAAATAGAAAAAATCACCTGCAGAAAGTAGTCGGTGCCAATTCTGACGCTCCTCCAAAGACCCAAGGAACTCTTGTACCACTTCCTCTCCCCAAGCTCTGAAGATATCTCTGACCTCTGTCTCAATATGAAAATCAAACTTGAAACCATTAGACTGCTTCAACTTCTTGAAGACATGATTTAAAATTTTCAACCCAAGTTTCTTCCTATTGGTCTCTCTAGCATTTCTCAATTCCAAGGCTTTTGCCTCTTTCTGTTTAAGGTACTTCTTCCGAGCTCTAATTGCTTTTTCTGACATGGGGGGATGCAAAACCGAAGGAAGAACTGCCTGAAGCTCCACCCCTAGAAAATCAATCTTCTCTGAGACAGCACTGTGGATTACAGTATTTAATTTATCAACCTTTAGCTCCAATTTCCCTTCCAAAAACTTCACAATCTGATTCTTCAAATCCATAGTCAGCATTTTTGAGCCAGACGTTATAACCAGTATTTCATCCAAATACCTAATTGCATAAACCCTTATATGTTTACGGAAAACATTAGATGAAGATAAAAGTTCATTAGAATCAAGTTTTGGATTTTCCTCATCCATCCTGAGACGGATATCTTGGATTTCTTTATCAAGACCATTGAAGAAAACATTAATGAGAATGGCACTTAAGGCACTTTCTTGAGGAAAACCTCTTCCCATAGAACAACCACCAAATTCAATTCGTAAAACTTCAGACTCAAGCAACCTCTTAATAAGATTAGTCAATAGTTTATCTTCTATTTTTTCTTCCATAATCAAACTCAGTTTTCGAAAATGGTGATCACAAAACATGTGCGGACTAAACCTAATCCTAAACCACCAACTGGGGTTTTCTACAGAACTCTTAAGATACCTAATTGCAGTGTGCCTCCCCATACCCACACGCCCTCCATAAGCAAAGGTTGCGAAACGCTTGTCATAAACAACCTCCAAAACCATCCGAACTGCTTCAACAACCACTTTCAGATTCAGGTTTGGAAGAACCAAGGACTCACCTTTCTTTCTTGATGGCAACACCGTAATGCAACAAGATTCGACATCAAATCGTTCTTCTCTAAGTTCACGAGCCATTTCTTTGACCGAGAACCTCTTTGAGACCGAGTCAATAAGAGAAGACGAATCGGAGGAAGAAGTTCCACCATGATTCTTCGCCCTAAGGTTTTCGCAAGCAGTGAGAAGTACACTGGGAGTGGATATAACGTTTTTTACGAGGTTATAGAATTTTCCATGACTATACTGCTGGAGAATCAGGGTTTCAAGTTGGGTTCTGTTAATGGGTTTCCAATGTTCTGATAATAACGCAGGCGAATTAGAGCAACCGGTGAGTGAATGAAATCTATGGTGGATGAGATGATTTATCCGAGCTTCAACAGCGTCAAAATATAGGAGAAAAACTCTCATGACGAAGAACTGAAATTGTAAGCTCAATGTTCACCCATAAAAACCTTGTTAGTCGATGCGACGGGCAACGATCACTAACCACTGCCGTCCATAGCATGGAGGCGCGGAATCGAACCTGCGTATCTGCGGATTTTTATGGGAAGCAGAAGCTCAGTGCACGTCACGTGCAACCTGCTGACCTCAGAAGTCAGAACGCTGCTCACAAAACAATGTACCTGTATCCTGTGCATGCCCACAACAACTCTGCCCACCAGATCTGACAACTACGGATTGGAAATATCTCCCTTGGGAGATGTTCCCAATACATGGTGGTGGTGCTATGTGGGTATGAATGTGGGAATAATCTGTGGGTAGCTAAATTCCCTCATATGTGTGGTTGCAATGATATATGGGTAGGTGGGCAAGAGATCTGGATTTAGCACTTGTAGCAAAAGCTCCCCTTTGCATCTGCTACCCACAACACCAAGTCATGTATTAAGAATATTCCCTATGAATGAAAAGGGAAATATTCCTAATGCACAGTTGTTATATCCCGTGTGTGGCAGATCCAAATTCAGGCCTTACTCATTTTAGTGCAAAGAGGGAGTAAGTTGGTGGATCTCGTAGAATTGAAATAAAACTGTATTCAGCCGCCATTATAATAGGGCCTGCGGAAAACAATTTTCCCTCTTAGCTAACCAATACTTTTGACTTTCCCACACACTGTCGAAAACTCAAGACACCCATGCCTTGTCCCTTATATACTTGGTAACTAGTCAGGACCCATGCAATGTATGGGCTTTAAGCAAAATTAAGGATGAAGCTCAATGACATTTCCAATTAAGTTGTGTTCATCTAAGTCTAATTCAAGTATTATTTTTTGGGTTATGTCTAGTTTATCCAATCATAATATAAGTCACTCTTTAGTCATAGTGGCCAATTGTCTATTCTCTAGATAAATTTGTATTTGTTTGTACCTTTAACATTTTTTTATTAATTTTTATTGGTTTATTATTATTTTTGTATTATTTTAAGATAAAATTATAAAAAAACATCTAAATAGTAATTCTATAAACCACCTTTGTGTTTTTACCCTAACAATGGCCTCCCCAATAATTTTGAAAAAAAAAGTGCAAATACTTCCTTTCCCTTGGCTTGTCAATAATAAAGACATTGAAGCTACCAAAATACCCTTATCATTGTTAATGCATTATCATACATAATTTAAAATTTCACCTTTACCCTCAACTAATTCATTTTGCCACACAACATTCAAAAAATAATTCTCTTTACTCTTCTTGGACAAAGTAGGGCAAAGGGGGTGAAGTGAAGTAAAACTAATGCATTAAATCAACATTTTTTTGGAATGATGACTAAAGGAATGTATTTGCACTTTTTTTTCAAAACAATAGGGGAAGTATTTGTTAAGGTCAAAACACTAGGAGTTTAATAGGATTTTTGAAACACCCAATAATGTTTTTCTAATTCTTTTATTTTTAAATTGATTTTAAAATAGTCAAACTATATTTAAAATTGATATTTTTACATTTATTTTTGAAATTAATAAAAATTTAATTTAATTTAAGTATATTATTTTTTTATTAAAACTAAATTCCGTATGAAATTTAATTAACTATATTACGTTTTTATTTTTTAGTAGAACTTAAGATGGTTTTAAATTAGTAAAAACTAATTATAAAACTAATAATTATTAGATAATTTTGTATTAGTTTTATAGTAATTTTAATTGATATTTTTTTTAATTTATCATATTTATTTTATTAATTAAATTCTTTTTATATTAATAAAAATATTTTTATCAATAACAATAATTAATATTTATTTTTTATTTTATTTAAGTAACTTACTAAATTATTTTTATTATGGCTAATTAATTTTTATTATTTTTAAATTGGAACATAAATGGATTTATAATTTTAAATGGAAGTAGGTTATTTAGCACAACAATATATCATTAAATATCTCAATTTCAATATAATTAATATTTACTAATAATTACAATTTAATGTAAATATATCTAATATATATATAAAACTATAATTAAATTGAAATGGATATAAATATGGATAAAATTAATGAATTTTGTGAAATTTAATGGAGTAATGGAGATGAGAGAGAATTAGTGGCATTAGTTATTAAAGAAGATAGTTAATGGCATAATTAATGAGGAGATATTATTAAAAGAGTTAATGGGAAATAGTGGGGAGAGAAAGAGAGAGAGAGAGAGAAAGAGAGAGAGAGAGAGAGAGAGAGAGATAATGAGGAGTGGTAAAAGCCTTAAAGGTGATTGGTTTGGTTTTCAAACCGTCATTGACTCGGATGGTTGGACCGTTTAGCCCATAATTGACCCTTAACCTGTATCTTGGCCAAAAACTATTGACTTAGTCAACGACCCACTGACTTATATCTTGGCCCTTAACCTGTATCTTGGCTAAAAACTGTAGACTTAGCGAACAACCCATTGACTTGGGTGGTCGAACTGTCAACCCAAACAACGGTTTTTGATCATTTTTTATTTTTATTATTTTTATTTTTTAATTAGAATGGATTGTTTGTTTGAACTGAGCAGTTGAACCACTAACCCAAAAACCTGTGGCTAAAGCGGTTCCAGTTTCCCGGTTAGTTTTAAAACATTGGTGATTGGGCACTACTTGAGTTATTTTGTTCAATTTTTAAATTAAGAAATTCAAAAAAAAATAAATGACTTTGAGAAAAAACCATAAAATAGGAAAGTGCCAGCTTGACACATTCCGTTTTAATATGTAGATATAGATAGATTTATTATTCAAACTAATACTATATCTCTTTTTAAATACCCTAACAACATTTCCCTAGCATCATAATCCAACCCAAAATATATAGTTACATGCAAGTGCAAAATTAACAAGGATATAATGAGAGCACACGTGTATGAACTGAGTTCCATAACCAATTACAAATGAACCACGCTAATGTTATATACATATGACGTCTATTTATGTAATTTAAACAATTTGGAAAAACTATGATGTTGGGAAGACATGATAAAAAATTCACATGAATTTTGATTAATACCACATATTGATTAACACATTTATGATATTGGCTGATTCATCACAAGTTTTTGACATATCATATCTTATACATTATACATTATACATTTTTTATTTAAAAAAATATATTCAAACAAAAACATCCATCACAATAATTATGACACAATCCAGACGAGTTCACATCTCCGCCCCACAATGTCCCACAGCACATCTCTGCCATATATTGGGAATATCTCCTGATGATAGTATCATATACGATGATAGTACTATGATAGTTCCCAATACACGGCGGGGATAGTACTATGGGACATTGTGGGGTGGCTCCCTTATAGGGTGGAGATTTGAACTCGACCTGGACTAGACCAACACTAAAACAAAGAAAAGAGATCAACCAATCCAAATTTAATACCACCAAATGCAGGAGTACACTTATCCATGACCTAATGCATGAGCCAACCAAAACGGAGGCCATCCAAGAGCCTCACTAGATTCATAGATACCTTTCTCAGCTACTATGTGGGTAATTGTTTACATATTACAATACTGGGGGTCGTTTGACAAGTCTTTTTGAGAAGATCTGACAGTCAAAAGATGCATTAAGCTTTTATATGAAGATTTGAGCAGTTTGAAACTAGTTTAACTACTGATGTCTTTCCGTGCATATTTTTTATGTCTTTTCGCGCAATAAAATAGGTTTCTTATGTCTCTTCAACTCACCGACTTCTGGTGGTTAGATTTCTTACAAACCAAACAGAAAAAGACCACGGCACGGGTCTATCCAACTTATAAACAGGCGAAAAAACTGCATGGAAAAACACACCACACGGGCTTGATTTATCCCTTTGCCCCATACAACTTTAGGAGTTACTAGTGTTAATTGCACGTGTGGACGTAAAAATGAAACCAATATATAATTATGAAGATAGTAAATATGTGATTTAACTTGTATGACGTGCACAGGAATTAAATCAAGTATCCCCTTTATAGATTATATAAATATAGATATATAAATTCATTCAAGCAGAAATAGCAATACAGACAATTAGGACTACAACCACCATTAAAAACTCTATCCAGACATTGAGAATATCCCTGTATGTTATCATCGATAGGAGATGTTCCACTGTACAGCTGTAATGTCTTATGGTTAGGTGTGGGTAGATCCCGATTGTCATTAAAGAGCTCTCTACTTACAGAGACTTAACACCCGGACTCGCCTTGTATTATTTCAAGTCACAGTTAATATATATATGACATGTTATTTCACATAATTCTTCATTGGTCTTTTTAAATAAAAAATATTCATTGCAATTATTCTTTTACCCTACACTCATGGTAATGTATCGTGTATACAAAGTTTTAAAACGGCCTAAATTGTTTTTTTTTTTTTCAAATATTTAGTTAAACATTTCTCAAATGAGGTGTTATATATCTATACTACTAATAAAAGAGTGAATTGTCTCATTTTCTTGACTTTTTATTAAACATTTTTATTCTTTATCTAAGCAACATACAACGGGCATAAAAAATGGTATATATATATATATCTTTTACTCTCACTCCAAAAACTGCCCACTTATAATAATTAATAAACTACCCACTTAAACTATTCAAAAAATGTACACTTATAACAGTTAAGAAACTGCTCACTTATAAATGTTTAAAAAATGTCCATAAATTATAAATTATAAGTAGTTTTGTATTGGAGATACTGTCACATGCAAATGCACATACATATTTACTAATTAATAATAAAATTACCAAAAAAGACATGAATATATTAAAACTTTCTTTTGAATCTCTTAAAAAATTGCTTTCAAGGGTAAAACAAGAGGGAATGGAAGCATGTAGAATACTTAAATTCCAGGAGATGGGCTTGCTTTTATTTTTGATGAATAGCCACAATGGCCAAGTACAGACATATATAAAAGGGAATGAGAAGAAACAATATAAATATATGAGTCTTTCTACTACCACACTTAGGCCAGGATCTTTTGGCTGACGGTTCTGAGAGCTTCGTTGGCTATAATTCTATACATGTGCTCTGTGGGATGAACAGAATCCCAGAAGATATATTTGCTTGGATCCTTACATGTGCTCATTCCTCTACATGTCTCACCAACTTCAATCGTCCCCGACCCACAGCACCCTTTGGAAGTCTCAGTGAAGCCTACTCCAATTCATGAACATAAACCAACATCATTCTTCAAGGAATATAATTAAAATGCACAAGATGTTACAAGCTGATGATTTCTAATCCAAATTGAATGTATACTCACCATATCTTGTTGGGTTGCTCATGGTGCGCTCAAAGATAGCATAGGTATCTACATATGCAGTCTTCACCCCAAGCGACGTCCCTATGTCAGTCAGTAAGTTTCTTACCTTGGAATTGAATGAGAAGGATGCTTTGTTGTAACTATCGGCACAGCCTGTTGTACCCGTTAATGTCTTGACAAGTGGCATACATCCCAGTGGAGGGACCCCCACAAGGACAAACTGCATGGCACCTAGCCTGTGCAATGTCTGCCATTTAAACAAGAGTCAGTATTATGGAAAGTTGATGAGAAAAGGAGGGGGCTAGATTGAATTTGAATCGCAGATAGGGACTAGGGAGAGATCATTCACAAGTGCAAGCTCTATGGGCTGTAATGGGCTGATCTTCCAGGCCCACTGAAACATTATCACAGCCAAGCCTTATCTGGCATAGTCCAGAAAAACCATGGGTTTGTTTTATATTTGTATGGCTTTTTCTACATGCATTGAAGAAGTGGGGCATCCGTTTTATATAGTAAGAAGCATTGAGAAGCAAAATGATGCAAAAATGTCCCAATCTGCTTCAATCAAGAGTTACCATCAAATGGGCATATATCCCTTCAAGCCTTGGCTGCTAGACAATTTTTTGTTGCCTCAATATTCAAGCCTGAGTAATAAGAGTGTTTGTGGTTTGCTCAGTTGAGCACACTCATTCTATCGTCACTCGGTCATTATATAAACAAGCAGTTATAGGTGTAATTAGGGGTGCAAATTGGACCGGGTTAGATCAGGTTGCGCTCAGCTAAAACCCAATTTGAACCATGACGTTTTTTTGGCTTGAGTGCTATTAGGCTGGGCTCGGGTTGGGTTTGGGTTAATCCTTTTTTTTTCAAATTTTACTGTTTTGTTGAAGTGTTTAGGTCAATTCAGTTTTAAGGACATAGTCATCATCATGCTTTAGGGAAAAATTGCATTTAAACCTCAAATTCTTGATCTCCTTTAATAAAAGATTTTCCTTTTACCAAAAAAAAACAAAAATTTAAAATTCTTGACATACTTACCGGTGCAAGTCAGTTACCCAATTTAAAGATGGGAAATCTTCACTTACCCCAACCTAACAAATTTTAACTTCACCTTATATTTGGGAACAGTGGCAGTAGGGTCTATTAATATTTTAACAAAATCCCGACCTTTGCCCAAATTGCACCCTTAATATACATAACATACATAAACACTTGCTTACATATGAATTATATAAGTAATCACATTAATGCATGTTTGAATAATATTTATAGATATAAATATTAAGTTAGATTCATACTTTTCATTCCTGACCTAACCCAAACTTCAACTAGACTTCTTTTGGGTTGGGTTTGAGCTAATCCGGCTCAAGTTTCAGCCATTGGTGTAATGGGCTCTTAATGCTATGTTTGGTTTGAAGGAAAAGGTAGGGAAGGGAAGGGAAAGTCAGGGAAGCTTATATAAGGTTTGTAAAGGTTTTACTAAATAGTCATTTTGGAGCTATCTTATCGCTACTTGTTGGATATCACAGATATCTAGGAAAAAGTTTTGCTCATTAAGGCTGTTTTTGGTTGCAGTGCAATTTTATTTGCACTAGTATAAATGCATGGGAGTGCAAATGAAAAGAATGCAAATCCTGGTTTAATTTTATTTTAAGTTTTATTTTATTCTGTTTCAGGTCTTAATTTATTTCACCTGTATTGTAATTAGACCTGTTCATGGGCCAGGTAGCCCGACGGCCCGGCCCGGCCCGGCCCGCACCCCAGCCGGGCTTGGTCATATAATTAGGCCCGCGGGCCTGACCTCGGGCTTAACACAGTAAGCCCGACTGTGTTTCGGGCCGGGCTCGGGATTTGTCAAAAAAGCCCGGCCCGAGCTCAGCCCGGCCCGACTCAATATTATATATTTTATAAAATATATAATATGTATTTTATATATTATATAAAATATATAAATAATATAATATTTATTAAAATATATATATTTATAATTTAATATATATATATATATATTATTCTTTTCTTTATAATTTCAATCTATCTCTCTCTTTATTCATCTGCTTCAACATTAATAATAATAATAATAATATAGGCTAAATTTCGGGCCCGGGCCCAGGCTCGGGCTTCGGGCTTTTTATGAGGGCTGGGCTTGGGCCCAAATTGTAGGCCCGATGGTCGGGCCGGGCTCGGGCTCGGGCCTTAAAAATATTTGTTAATACACAGTAAAAGCCCGGCCCGAGCCCGGCCCGGCCCAGCCCATGAACAGGTCTAATTGTAATCAAACAAAATAAGGTAAATTTTGAACTAAAAGCAAATCATAATTTGCACTGAAATCATTTTCACTACCATGATCTGCATCAGTGCAAATGATTTTGCATTATAACCAAATACAGCCTTAGGCTCAGTTTGGAAGGAATACAAATACAAATTTGTAGTGTAAAAACTTCTATTTTGTATTATTTTGTATGTATTTGTGTTATACATATTTTTATTTGTACTCCTTCCAAACTGAGCCTTGAAAAGAATACAAATACAAATATGTAGAGTGCAAAAACCTTGTATACATATTTATATTTGTACCCCTTCCAAATTGAGCCTTAATTTTTTTTTTTTTTATTGCAAGTGTCCTTTAAAATACGCTATAGATAGATGGACACTTAACCAGCATTATATTAAACGTTTGAGTTTTTTTCTCAAACTGATTGCATGCCCTTTGGTAAAACTTTAAAAACACTTGCGTCCTAAATATAAGGAGCCAAAGATAAAATCTAAAGAAGTAATGTTTGGTGAATAACATATATAGAGACAAAGGTGGGTATCATCAATTAAGTCACTTGATTGGCTTTTATCTCAAGCCTTTTTTTGTGGCTTAGGCCTAGTTATCTTGTTTAATTTTCATTTGAAGCTTTTTATACAAGAAAGAAACCTTTGTTTTTGTCCCTTTTTTTATTCAGGCTCAATTTGGGAAGAATAAAATATAAATATAAATATATAGAGTGTAAAACCTTGTATTTTATATGTATTTGCAGTATGCATATTTGTATTTATATTCTTTTCAAATAGAGCCTCAATCTCACATACCTCTTATACAGTTATACCATCATGCAATATTTAATTTGATAAAAAATCTGAGAACCTCCATTAACTTTTTATGCCCCCTTATTTTTTATCAAACCAAACATAGCCTTAGGTTGTTTCTTCAAATCAGCCTTGAAAGAAAAGAAAGAAAAAGGAGATAACAAAGAATGAGAGCAACCTTAATGTCATTAGTAATGCATGTGGCAAGGTAATTCAGGTATCCTTCCAAACTATATTGCTTTGGGCGAGTTGGTTCCAAGAAGTAATTCTGAACGAAGTCATTCGTGCCCATACTCAATATATAGATTGCATGTTGAATGATTTCTTCTGCTTTCTTCTCTCCAACCAACCTTCCAAGATGTAGCTTGTAATGCATAAAATATTTTATTTGCCTTGAGAACGACAACACATTCTGCCACATCAAATATGAAATGAAAGATAATGAATTGTTGAGCATGTGGTTTGCAAAGAAACAATTAATTGTGTTTATAAGAGTACACGATTTGCATGGTTCAGGTTCGAACCAGATCAGCCAACGATATAATTAATTAATTATTTTATATATATAGAGAGAGAGAGGATTGTTTCTAAGTCACAATGCCTTGGTACTCAGTGGCAATTATGTCTAGCTATATGACTTAGGCTATGTTTGGGAATGTTTATGTTAAAAATAAGTGCTTATTGAATAAATTTATTTGCATTTGGCACCCAGTTTTTTCAAGTTCTTATTTTAAAAAATAAGCACTTATTTCATATTTTGGTGGTATTTTTCTCCAAGGCATTGTGACTCTTTTGTCCTTTATTTTCTTTCAAATTTTCAAAATACTCAATCCAAAGCAAATGAATAAAAGTACTTTGATAGAAGTGCTTTTATAAAAATATTTTTACAAAAGTGCTTTTATAGAAATACTTCCATAAAAGTACTTTTATAAAAATATTTCCATAAAAGTATTTTTATAAAAGTGCTTTCGTAAAAGTACTTTCATAAAAGTGTGTTCATATAAAAGTACTTTTGTAAAAGTGTTTTCATATAAAAGTACTTTCATAAAAGTGTTTTTGTAAAAATGTTTTCATATAAAAGTACTTTTATAAATGTGCTTTCGTAAAAGTTATTTCCTAAAAGTATTTTTATAAAAGTGCTTTTGTAAAAGTAATTTTATGACTAGTGAAGGGTATAATTGGTATTCTAAAAATTTACTGAGGACAATTCTAGGAGAACAAATATGAATAAGTGCTTATTATATGAACACTTAAAAAAACTGGAAATTTAGGTTTAAAAAATAAACACTTATTTCGGACTTATTTCCCAAATACGAATAAGTGCTTAATGGTGTGATCCTGCCCAAATAAACATGGCCTTAGTTCTAATTATATATGACTAGTGAAGTTTCCTGCTGGTTGAAGGCCTAAATGGGGTTTGGAATGAGAGAGAAAGGGGGGGAGCATTCATTTAAAGCTGAAGTGGCTGAAATTACAGACTTATCTTTTATTTTTAATGGATAACATAATTAAATAATAAAATACTCAAAGTCAAATTAATAAATCTAATTTCATTTTCATCCATTAAGGAGACCACGGTTGGCTTCAAAGAAATAAAAATTAAAGACCATACAACCTCCTTAATGACTTGACTTAGGGAAAGCAATAAATTCTTAAGTTCAGTCGTATTCAAACGCCCCTTAGTCCCTTACACATTACGATATTAGAAGAGACATGACTTGGCCCATTGGCCCATATAACCATGTTGTAAATTTAGGAGGTATTTACTTTAGTCCCAACTAAAAGGCACAGAAGTTCGATTCATTATGGAGCCCTCAACATTTTAGGGACGCAGGTTGCATTGTTACTAAGGGTGTCAATGGAGCGGTTTTGGATGGAACCTCGTCCAGTTTAAAATCAATTTGGATAGATTGAATGGATCAACAAGACATATTGGATTGAACTAATTCGGTCCAAAATATTTATTAGATTAGACTGAACCTAGTCCATTTGTAACAAATTTATATTGGATTGGGTTGGATTAAGCCAATATCTGATCCATTGATATATGATAAGAATATATGCGTCAATAGACCGGGTGGGTTGAAACTAAATTAAAATGAAGTTGAACAGATTGGATGGTCCAGACATTGAATTGTATCGGTCCAAATTAGTCCAAAACATTCATTAGATTGGATTGGACCTGATCCATTTATAATGGACTCACATTGGACTGGATCAGATTGGACCAAATCCAATCCAATTGACACCCCTAATTGTTACAACTTATACTTGGGCTATATCTGGTTACAGAGAAATAGCCCTCAACATTTCATGGGAGGGAAATAAGGAATGCCAAATGTGGGTTTCCCTCATATGCTTTCCTTCATTTCCCTACCTTTTCCTTCAAATCAAACATAGCCAAAAATTTTGTCTGTTTAGAGCTAATGAAAGACAAACACTTTTTTGGACTCGAGTTGCACCTCTAAGGCTGTATTTGACGTTTTTTTACAGTTAAAAACTCAATGTTCATAGGACATTTTAATAGCAAAAGAGAGATAAATCCTTAAAATAAAGAATGGCAAATGCAGCTAAGTGTTAAATAGTGCATATGCTGATGAATCATCACTTTTTTAGATGATGATTCAGTGTCAAAGGATGACATTATGTAGATGGCGTGACCCAGTGCTATGTATTCATCACCCATTGACCCAATTGGGGCCAAGGAGTCATTGACACACCATGGCTCTGCATGAGAGGTAGAAAGTGGGGGATTACATACCGAGAAGTTGGCTGTGAGATAATCGTAACCAGAACCAGCCGATGCAAAACTGACTCCATGTAAAAGGTTTTCTTGAGTCAAATGCCGGTCCAGAAAGCCTGAAATTATCTTTGTATGACCTAATGCCTCAGCTGCAAAAGAGGAATTACATAAGATGATCATCAATCACTTTTTCATACCCTTTATTCATAACATGGCAATTGGCATCCATTATTTTCCTTAATTAGTTTGTTTACCGTGTAAATTTCATTTGCACTGGTGTAAATGTATGAGCTAGAGTGCAAATGGGTTTGAGTATAAATTCTAGTTTACTTTTGCTTCATATTTAATTTGACTGTCTTATTTGGTTTTTGTTGTGTCTTATTTGTTTTTTAGAAATAAAATATAAAGTAAAATGATGTGATTCCTTTGACATGAAGGAAGAGTAATGCTACTTATTTAAGAGAAATACTATAGGAAGAAAAATAATGTGATACCCACTTTATATGAGATAAAATGTAGGAAGTTGATGCAAATTTTGTATCAAATATAGTAAAAAATGGATGCAAATTTGAATCAGGTGTAAAATTTGCATTACAAACAAATAGACCTTAAAGAAGTATTGGAAATTGTTCTTATTTTGTTAAATGGAAACAATTCTCCCACTCTTACGATGGAAGACACGAGAATACTGGCTACAAGAAATTAAAGTAGGTTTATAAATCTTGAATGTGGGAATCTTTGTAATTGGCTGGTAGGTGTTGAGAAAATAGGTCAATTGGAAGAACTTTATAAATGTTTTATATTATTAATTATATATTCCAGCACAAACCACCCCATCATCCTTAGGATGTTTTTGATTTTATAGAAAATAAGAGAGAAACATAAAGTTGAGAGGAAGTTCTTGTGGCTCTATTTATTGCAGTACGAATTTGAACCAAATACAAATTTTGTATCCTAAAAATTGATGAAAAATTTTTGCATCACCTTTACCTGAATTATATGCATATAGTTATTTTGTATCCCAAATAACTCTATGCATATCTTCATTTTCTTAAGGTAAAATTCCTCATCAATATCTTGTACTTTAGGGGTTGTGTCAAGTCAGTCCCTGAACTTCAAAATGTGTCTTTACATTACCCTAAACCTTCAAATTGTGTCTAATAAGTCCCTATTTGTTAATAGACGTTAATTGATAAGTGAAATGACAGAAATACCCTTCAAATGTCATCTAATTTTTTTTATTTGCCATTTCCACATAAATCAATTCAAGAGCTAGGCAGTTTGAAATGGTAGCGCTTCATATGTGGTGATTGTGGTGGAGAATCGTCGCCTTCATTAATGTTGAGTTCCTATAGTCGTCTTTTGCATGTCCGGAGAGCAAGAGCTTCAATTGATCTGTGTCCAATTTCATAATCCTTCTTCCCCTTTCCTTCTTTTAACACTTGGACAAATTGGGTAAAATTATCAAAAAAATATCATAAAGGACAATCTTATTATTTTGAAATTATTTAATGTGCACCTGATGTCACATGACAATGTTGACTAACAGTCAACTAACGGCAGGGACCTATTAGACACAATTTAAAAGTTTAAGGTATTGCAAACTGATAAAGAATTTTCCCTTTTCTTAATTTCACTAGTAAAAGGGCATGTGTTATATGAAGATAATTAATATTATATAATGAAACTTAACTTTTATGGCATGCATTAAACCAAAACAAATATCCACTTTATATGGTATAGAGAGACAGCATGGGGAGCACTTCATTTTACTTCCACTTTAGGTACTTCTCACAAACAAATCATAATAAACGAGAATTTATACTCATCCTATTTGCACTTTCATGCACGGGAACCGATGCAAAAGAAATTTCCACCGCAAACAATGAGCTTGAAGAGTTTTGTTTCTCTGGAATTATGATTCTGTGAAGCCAAACACAACATTGGTGAATCAATCTTGAGTGCCAGTTTGCATAGTATGCCCATTGAAGACAAAACATGCAAGAATAAAGTAAAATAAAAGAAAAAAAAAGGATATGATATACACAATACATACCAATGAAATCTGTGGCAAGTCTTCCATTGCAAAACCTTCCGGTAGGCCGAGAATCAAAGAAATCCTTCCCATAGGGAGGGAAATTGCTCTTCAAGGTGGTGGCCAGAAAGTTGTTATTTCCAGGATCGACGCTCGAATCACCGAAAACCAAGATACAAGTCATGTTTTTTCGATTTATCAAATGTCTCAATTGGCCAATATTGATAGCTTGTAGACATTTGGGCATCGAAAATAATATAGATATCATCATTACCACCACCACTATCACCTTCACCATTGTCATTTTTTAAATCTTCTGAGCACACACCAATACTGCCTAAAAAAGCTAAGGCCTCTCGGACTGAGCTGGTGTGACAATGGTGTATGAGCACATGCATTCCTTTATATAGACCTGATTGCAGCTCTGTTGAATGAAAAAGGAGGTCGATCGGCGCTTGCCAGTCGTTATCCTACCAAGAGGATTTAATATCGTGGGGAAGTTAGGAGTTATGTAGGGGCGTATAAAGATAGCTGCTTGTCTACCTTGTATTATATATTGAAGGCATTTTGATTTGATTAGGTTTACTGTTGCATAATGAATTAATGACAGAAAAAGTAGGTTGGCTACAAGTGCATGACAACCAAGAAGAGAAATCATTCCAATTTGACACCCCCAGTATAATCTTTATCTTTACCGGGGTTTGAGGGAAGGAGAGAGGTGATAAGTGAGTAGAAGGGAGAGGAGAGAAAATAAATGCAGAGAGAGAAGCCAAAGCAAGTATATATACGCCATTGTGACAGGCAAATCAATTGGTAGGTGGTGAGTGTGGATGTCGTTATTGATTGATATGTAGCAACGATAGTATTAAATGGGTCACCCGCGGGATTGACCATCACCAACTACCTCCCTTGAAAGCTTTTGCCCAATTAATGCCCACACTTTTCTCATTGGATCGATTCTATTCTATTGGCATGCATGGGATATATACAAAGGAAGAAAGGTTGTCATATAGTTTAAGGTGACATCTAACATCTATATATAATTTAATTATAGAAAAGTGACCACTGTAATGCATGGATTGGTAATAAGAATGCCTCATGGAATCAGATTCAGTTTCCAGATAAAATAAATAAATAAATAAAGGATACTGAAATGGTTGTGGGCAAGCTTAAATAGAATTAGCCTCATGCGTGATTATTTTATTTTTTAAAAAATAAAAAATATATAATTTATAAGAACCATATAGGAGTTGCAACTTTCAACAACCAACAAAATTTTAGTTCAAAATTCGAATACGAAAAGTTTTAGCCTCTGGATGCTGCCGCCTTACTGAATCCATATTCAGATTTGAGTGGATTCATCGTGGGCATATTTCCATTTAGTCCATGAGCGGTTTATGTAAATAATAATAGAAAAACTCAGCCAACAACCGAATGATTCATCCAATTGAATCATTGAAACATTTGACTCAATTAGTGGGTCACATGCTAGAAAATAATTCATTTTTTTGTATGTATAGTGATTTCCATCATTAATAATAATAGTTTTTAATTATTTATTATTTCTTGTAATATGATAAATATATAATAGTTTTTAATTATTTACTTTTATATTTTTATATGATTCACGATGTCATAGGCCCATATCGTTGAACCATGAACCCACCACAAGCCAAGACAGTTAAATTGGTTGCATTGATCCAATCCTTTTTCAATACAAAATATAGATTAATGCTATGATAATTATTTACTTGAATTGATTCTTTTAGTGTATGTGTTATTGGAATTTGAAAAATATGGAATAGACATATTTGATGAACCCTTGTTTTATTTTTATTAAATTTTATACTTGTTTTTGTTAAATCAAATGCATATAATGTTTTGGATTAATTAAATTTGGATAATTAATATTTTTATAATCTAATATACAGAATATTTTGGTTGGGAATGAAGTAGCCCAATTAATTGATTTATTCATTTTAATGTTATTAGACATCTAATCTTATATCATTTTCATATTTTATTTTTAAATAAACTTTCAAATATAGTAAATGGAATATTGAATCATATTAATGTTAAATTAAATAAGCATATATTAATTATTAGACATTTTAGTTAGTGATAATTGAATTATTAAAGTCTTTTGAAATTAATGAAAATTAAGTTCATATTGTCTCTTTGCTACTTTTATCTTTTAAATCACGAAAGAAAAGAAAAGAAAAAAAAAAAGAGAGAAAATTTTCAGGGGTCACAAAGCATAAAAGACTATCGATGTAGATTGTTCCCTTTATATGACTATTTATCAAGTATCCCTTCATTTCCCTACATTTTCTTTCAAACCAAATATAGATTAAAGTTGTCTTATCTATCTATCTATAATATATAAAGCAAATACTTGTCATAGGTTCCGAAAGGATGATAGAAATTGAATCCAAATGCCATATATTTTATATATGGTAAATATATACTTGTACACATGCATAGTATGTGCTCTTACCAGTACTATAGAAAGTCTATACATGCCTCGATTTTGATGTAGTCATAAAAGTTAAATCAAAGTATTTCTTATCTTACTTGAACGCATGCCCTTACATTAGTCTTATATATAAAAGATGAAAAATAATTATAAGTAACAAAAAAAAATAATTATCATTAAGGGTGTCTTTGTGTTTTCAATTGAACTTTTTGTTCAAAAAAACTTGTCTAGCAAATAATAAGAAAATTCTATTTAGCTAAAAAAGCAAATAATGGGAAAGTTAAATTGGTAATGGAAACAGCACCACTTAATCCACATTATCTCGTAAAGTTTTAAGGGTATGTTTGGTTCGTAGGAATAGGGGTCTGGAATTGGAATCAAAATGGATCATTCCAATTCCAGACATTTGGTTGGGTGGAATCTGAATTCAATTCCCATTTCAAGCGAAATGGCAATCCACCATTTGAGGGAATGGCCATTCCCGACCCACCCCCCAGGAATCGGAATCTCATTCTCGTTTCTTCAAATAACAAAAGAATAAAATTATATTAAAGCCCTAAACACTTTTCACTATCCGATTTCAACTTTTCTACCCCTCTCTCACTCATCTTCCATCTCTCTCTCCTTGCAATTGAAGAAGAACGGATTTGAACTAAAGCTCCAGTGATGGCAAGGTAAGTCACCATCGATTTTTCTCTTTCTCCTCTCCTTCTCTTTCTCACTCTTTTTCACAAAAAAAAAAAAAAAAAAAATCTTATTAATTTAATGGGTCACCTGTTCAACCACTAGGTCTGATCCGAGTTTGACAACACTACTTTTTCTATTTATTTTTGTTCAAGTAGAATGTTGATAGCGATTACTATCATGATGGATAACTATACAAATTTTCCCATCTGTTGAACTTTTGCCCTATCTTATATTAATGGAATTTTTAGTCCATTAGATATCCTTTAAAGCATAGCTCTTGACAATCATACGAAATGGGAGAGGCCAAGGGTTCTCATGCCATAATTATCCATCTAAATTAAAACTATACTAGGGCATTTAAGTAGTGTTTGATAGATTTGAAAAGTTAAAAAAATATTAAAAGTGTTTGAAATCTGGAAAGAGACATAGTTGCTTTCGACTTTTTAGAGGCTCTGAATAAAGAAGGTTGTTTGTGTTGGATCAAACCTTCAGCATCTAAAATTCATTGATTTTACTATTTTACCCCTAAGATAGACTATTTGGTAGTTTTCAGTTCAATTTGCATTATTTCATAAAAAACAATTTATTAAACTCAAAATAATATTGAAAATTATGAGTAAATTATAAAAAATAAAAAATAATGCATTAAAATATGAATAAAATTGAAAATTTATCTCAATTTATAAATCAAAAATAAATTATTGAGTTAAAACAATAATGTAGTAGTGAAGACCATGAAGCAATAAAAAAATTTAATAATCATCAAATTAATATCTTAAAACTATTAAAATACTTAATTATTAATAAAAATTAAAATAATTAATAATTAATGCAAATATAATTTATTAAAATAAGGATAAAATTGAAAAAAAAACATATCAATTTATAAATTAAATAAATTATTAAGAGTTAAATTAATAATGAAAATAGTAATGAAGACTATAAAGTAATAAAAAAATTTAATAATTATCAAATTAATATCTTAAAACTATTAAAATATTTAATAACTAATAAAAAATAAAATAATTAATACAAATATAATTTATAAAAATAAAAAATAATTTATGAAAATAAGAATAAAATTGGAAAGAACCACCGTTGCTGCTGAGAGTTGCAACGGCAGTGGTTGGAAGATAGGAGAGAGAGAGAGAGAGAGAGAGAGAGAGAGAGAGAGAAAGAAAGAGAGAAATCAAAGAACTGTCGCTGCTGACAGTTACAACGATGGTGGTGGGAAAGAAGAAGAAGAAGAAAATGAGAATAGAACTTCCTAGTGGAAAATCTCCTTTCTCGAACCAGGGGAGGAGTTGAATGACCTAAATTTTTGGCTTATATGAAGAGCATTACAGGTTTCAAATTTCTATGGGGGCTCTTTTGTCTTTCACCCACGTCTGAAATGCTTCTTAGCGCATTAAGCACTGATGAACCTACAATTTATCTATAATTTTTTAGGACTTTAGCATGGATTTTTATGCCGGTTTTATTAATTTTTGCCTTAATTTAGCTTAATGCTAAGAATAAGTTTCAGGGGTAATTAATCCAAGAAAATGAAGGAAAAAGGCAAGAAAAGAAGATTCAAAAAGACCAAATTCAGCCCAGCCCGGTTGTGGAAGCAAGAGAGAGCACTTCGGCCCAAGAAKAGCAAGTGGGTTCCTTGAGAAAACCCAAGAAAAGAAAGCTTAACTAAGACTAGAATTCGGCCCAGCAAAGAAGGCCCATTCTCAACCCAAAAGAGCAGCTCAAAGTATAGCTATCATGTGCTAAGAGAGAGCCTAAGTGTAGCCCAAATAGCAGCCCTTAGGAGGCTTTCAAGAGAGCTCTAGAAAGTTCAAGAAAGGAGTGTAATACACCCCATTCTAGAGGCTTCAAGAAGGGGCAAGAGCCCCCTTGAAAAATTATATAAGGAGGCCTTTAGGAGGGGAGAGAGGTGTTCAATTGCTTGAGAGGAAGGCTCTCCCACTCTTAGAGGTATGTATGTATGTATGTAATTTTTATAATTCTTATTTTTTTGTATATAAAATAAAAAATTTATATGTATAATTTTTATTTTTTATAGGAAGCTTGTCTCATAGTCAAGCTCGAACTTGCAACCTTTTGAGCTGAGCAGAATTTGAGCTCAAATTTCTAGTTTGAATCGAACTCAAGCTCAAACCTAACATTGTTTTGGCAAGCCAAACTCAAATAATCAAATATTTGGCTC